CTCTCTCTCTCTCTCTCTCTCTCAGCAGACCTGATAGCATCCTGAAACAACCCAAACTTTCCGAGAGGCGTCCAATAAGTGAATAATTCTGATCTCCTAACTGACAGTATTCTGACTGGTAGTGATAAGAACATGATTGAACAGATAAAACTCTTCAGTGATTGCATCATTTGTGTACTCCAGAAACTGATAGACACGGCAACAGCGATAGTGTAGTGTTCAGATTGGAATTTTCCTAACCGGCGTCATTCAGGACGTCTGCGTCAATTGTGTTGCTGGGAAACAGCAAGTCCTTCTGTAGAAACAGTTGAGTTGAGTTTTAGTTTTAGCTTAGTTTAGGTTTAGTTCAGTAGAATTTAATTTAGTTTAGATCTAGTTTAGTTTAGTTTAGTTTAGTTTAGTTTAGTTTAGTTCAGTTTAGTTTTAGTTTAGTTTAGTTTAGTTTAGTTTTAGTTTAGTTTAGTTTAGTTTTAGTTTAGTTAAGTTAAGTTAAGTTTAGTTTAGTTTAGTTTAGTTTAGTTTAGTTTAGTTTAGTTTAGTTTAGTTTAGTTTAGTTTAGTTTAGTTTCGTTTCGTTTCGTTTCGTTTAGTTTAGTTTAGTGTAGTGTAGTGTAGTGTAGTGTAGTTGAAGTTAGTCTAGTTTAATTTAATTGAAGTTAGTCTAATTTCAGTAACAATGTGTCTACACTTACGACTCAAAAAAGCCATAATATATAAGAGCCTAAAATCAAAAGTATTACTAGAGAGTAACATACACAGAAAAATGAGGTTCTTAAGGGTCGCGGAGAGACAGCAACCTGCGTGGAAAAGCCAGAAGAATATCCAACCAGCTGATAACTGGCACGATCAGCAGGCAGACCCTTTCGTGGATCCTGGAGAGGAGGGAGGAGCAGCTATGGCATTGTGTTGCCTGTAATGATATCTATTTCTCCATCTAAGTAAGTAAGTAAGTAAAGAAGGTGGATATACTATAAAAATGACATGTAATAGGAAAGAAGTATTGACTGCACCAGAGCACCCGCCAACCACTCATCATTAACTAGAGGACACGTCAACTCCGATGAAGTAATCAGATTGGATCCCCCCCCCCCACCACGACATCAGAACGTCTGCTTCCGTTGTGTTGCTAGGCAACACCAGCTCCTTGTGTAAACATTAACTAGCGGGAACTTCATGGCTCGGAAACAGTCAGCATATTACACAGCTGACGACGGTGGTAGGGAAAGTAAAGTATACGGGGTGCCCACTATGGCTGGGAT